CTTGTTATCAATACTTTGCCATTCGATGACAACAAATCTGTTCAAGAAACACTCTTAAATCTTGATTAAAGTCTTCTGGTACGTAATTTCTTCCATCAGTTCAATTTTATATTCAAACATCAAAGTGGCAGAAATTATGGAGTGATATGAAACATAATACACTTCAGTAACACATGAAGTTTAAATGAAGATGCATTAATAATCATTAATAGACTCATTAATATTGAAAGTCATACTGTATGTAATAATCATAGAGGACGCAAAGTTAGTTGATTCAATTCATTCATGCTCGAAATGCTGAGATCACCAGTAACCGTTACCCGTTCTTTATTTACTGTGGAAAGAGGATAACTAAAGAGTCTATTAATGAAAAATCTAAAGGTTGCCATTTTATTCGAAAAAGGATGATTTGAATCGTATGGGATTATTGTAGAAATTGAAGATGGTTTTCTATAAACATCGAAATGTATTGTGTTATCGATTTTGATTATAGCTAAATCCAGAAAGTTCAAAAAGTTATCTCTTTCTAATTCCATAGTAAATTTTAAGTTGTCGTGAAGTTGATTAATATAATTATGAAAATCATTTAACGTGGTTAGATCTCCTTCCCAAACACAGAAAATATCATCAACATATCTTAACCATTTGACTATATGTTTTTTATATGGGTTCAAGTTATTTAGTATATATTCACTTTCATAATGATCGAGGAATATATCTGCTAGTATACCAGATAAGGGCATACCCATAGGTAAACCTTCATTTGTTTTGTAGTTTTTATTATTGAAAGAGCAATAGTTCTGAGTGATAATGTGTTTAAGAATTTTATTCAGATTATTGACATTTATTATATAATCTATTTGATTTTCACAAATTTTAGTTATTAAGTTTAAAGTTAGATGTAAAGTAGATGTTTGAATAAAGATTAACTATATCAAATTAAACCAAATATCTTCTTTTAGGATCTATATCTCGTATTTCTTTAATAAATTGTTTGGTATTATGAATTGTATATTTTGGTTGAAAATTTAAGTTTTTGAAAAATTGAAGCATGAAATTGGCTAGTTTTGCAGTAGGTGAATTGTTAAAAGAAGTTATTGGCCTGATGAGCATATTTTGTTTATGTAATTTAGGAAGAGGTTAGAGTTTCGGAATTTTGGAATTCATGTGTATAATAGAGTACTGAAAAAAGAAGACGAGACTATTTTACTATTGGGATCAATATGCGAGGAATATTAATTTGATTAAGGTACTTCTGCATGTGTTTATAATTTCGCGGGTCTTTCTAATAACTGTGTCTAAGGGATTCTTTTCAAGTTCAATATAATGGTTTTCTGACATAAATTGTTCAGTTTTGTTGATATATGTTTCTTTATTTAATATTACAATGCCAGCTTTAGTGAATATGGCATTATTTTCTTTTAATTTACGTTTGATGTTTTTCAGACTTTGCCATTGTTGAACCTGAGATAAATTATATTTTTTAATACTTTTTTCTGCCTTTTTAACGTGTGGTATTAGGTCGTTCTTCATTTTGTTATATTCAGGCTGTTTTCTAATTATGTTATGTAATTCAACAGTTAAGATAGGTAAGTTAATTTTTGGGGTCAAAGAAAATTTGTAACCTTTATTTAAAAGATTTGTTTCTTCCTCCGTGAAGTTAATGTCAGTTAAGTTCTGGAACTGGACATTGTTCTTTGGTTGGTCTGTTGGATTAGTTTTTCTTTTGGTCATTGTGTTTTGATTTTTCTTCAAAATCTGCAGTTTTAGATTTTTACGTCTTTTATCTTCTCGTTTTATGTGTAGTGTTTGTGTTGTTGTAAAATTTAAAACTTCCTCAATTTCCAAGAAGTGCATTCGTTCTCTTAAACAACGCTTGATTTTAGCAAGTTTATCATAGCAAAAATTAAGAGTCTTAAAATGTTTCCATTTTTCTTCACGTAAAATCTTTCTATGTATGAAGTTCAAAGTTGACATTTTGAAAATTTTGAAAATTTGGAGTGATATTCTCTTTGATGCAGTAATTAATGAAATTTATATGATTCTTTGTAGTTTTCAATTTGACGTAGATTTTTCTGAGTCCATGGATTAATGATGAAGTGGTATTCTGATTATAACTGTTGATATTCATGTTGCAAGTTTCGTTTAAATATTGAAATAATAAACAAATAAATATAACTTCTTATCTTGCAAAATTCTAAGAAATATTTGATTTTATTTTTCATAAGCGCCGCTTTTTCATTTCGTTTACCTGTTTCTATCTTGGCATGTGTCTTTCATACAAGTTTTAAAGGTCATCCATTTGAGTGTTAATTTATATATCGTTTGTGAAGAAACTTGTGTAGTTTTTGTCTTTCTACAGTTTATTTAGATATATATTGTATTTTAAAGTGTAATTTCATATTTTTTAAAATGTTTTTTATATGTCTGCTCTTTGTGATGTTAATTTTATTTTATTGACCGTAAGTTCTATAAGAATTTTAATTTTTAATTATTAAAAATAATTAAAATATAATTGTAGATTCGGCTGAAGATGACTAAGTAAAAAGAAAAAATTTGAAAAAACGATGAAAATATATTTATTAAAAAATATTTAAAATTAGTGCGACTAGTTTCGGGAGTAACTTCTCCCTTCTTCTAGCACGACTGAAATGTACAAATTATTTGTTAGTATTAAAATTAACTAGATAATAGGATGTTAATAGTTACCGTCAAATGTCGAGATAGTAGTCGGAGAGTAGAATTTAATTAACATCTCAAACGATCCACGAGAAAAAGTATAGAAAATACGACACATTGAACAACCTCTAAAGTTTAAATTCCAAAAATTCCAAATTATTAACAAGGTTAAAAGCCTGATGGGCAAGATATAACAAAAGATTTTAAGAATTAAATCTTAAAAACATGATTTTCATCGTTAAAGAAAAGACAAAAAATATTTGAACGTTCTAAAATTAAAGCTGAAAAGATAAGATTATAAGAATTTATGATGGAAGCATAGAAAAAGTTAACTTACTAATATAAAATTCTGAAATTGTTGAAAAACTAAAAAATTATTGAGAGTCCATCTGGTGCGTAAAAACATCTATCGAGGACTGAATGTGAAGAACCGCATGGCGTACGAGTACAGTTTAGCACATGATCGGGAGATAAGATAAGAAACAACACTCAAAATTCTTATAAACTTTTTAAATATAAAAGCGTGGATTTAAATAAACATAGTAAAGTGTCTAAAGACATTGTGATCTAGAGTGTCATTGATGAGTTTATCTTCTTTGTTGAGAATGTTAATGTATAATTCTTCATAGAGATCCATCTCTTTCGACTTATTAATGTTCTTTAATAGTTTACAATTATCGAACTTAATGTTATGATTAAATTTACTAATATGTTTATGGACTGCAGAGGTATTTTTGGAAATATGTTCCTTAAATCTGGTGTTGATATTACGTCCTGTTTGGCCGACGTAGGTTCTATCACAGTCCGGATAATCAATTCTGTAAATACCACTAAGTTCCTCGCTCTTAAATACGTGTTTGTTATTAATTAAACGACTATGAATTTTATTTCGGGAGACAAAAGCATGGGTGATGCCAAATTTTCCAAGATTACGTGAAAGGGGGTTAGTAATCGAGGGAACGTAAGGTAACACAACAAATCTGGTTTTCAATTTGTGGTGAGGATATATAATTTTATTTAGTTGTGAATTACGTACTTTGTAAAAAATGTTTTGGATGCCAGCTAGGGAAAAGTCATTGTTGAAACCAATTTTAATTACACTTGCTGAACCATTGAATTGAACCATTGGAGTTTAATTAAGAAAAAAAAACTTATCAATATTTCGCCTTGAGTTTTTAGCTATCAACTCAAAACATGTTGAGTGTACACCACCTAAACTTTCATTTAAATTGGTAAGTATACAACGAAATTAAAAGCAGTTAAAGTCGAACTAATGGATTTCGCGGTCACATTTGCCCCAGTGTACCATATTACATATTTTTTATGGTATCATTTCCATTACTATTTGTGATGTAACCCGAAACCCTCCTTTGTGAAACCTTGAGGTGGTGCGAAACCCTGGTTGAGAAACAGTGAGTTCTAAATTCTGTCTTAATAGTTTCATATCTCTTATGATGTCAAATTTTGGAATTTTAACCTTGACGTCTTATAGGTTGTTCACAATGAATAAGGAAATTGTTTCATAGAAGCACTTTTCGGATTAATGTGATTTATTTCGCGTTCGTACGTTTATTTTCCATAACCTTTCATTTATAAGTTCATGATTTTCACATATTAAATCTCGTATGTTCGCAAGAACTAGTTATGCAATAAAGGTGTATATGGGAGATGCTTTTAGTGTTAATTTATACCGTTTTTTGTACAAAAAGTTTCTTCCATTTATTTTTAGCCCTTTATAAAAAAATGTTTCAAACACCAAACTTGGGAATCTCCTTAAGTATTTCATAATTCATAACTACAGCTTCGTGACCGTTCGAGATTTTTTCTTATATTTTCAAATTGGTGCCGACCCATATTAATTTTAGATAAAGGTTTTAGAAAAATAAAAAAAAATTTGAACCAATCACATAGAAGATGAAACCGGATCCAAATCGAGAGGGAGTTTACAATTCGCCAAAGATTTGCTTTTGTTAGACTTTTCCATCACACCAGACGCCAGTTCAGGCTCCATTCACTTCATTCATATTTGCGAATCTTCCGTTTCAGTAAGCGCCAGGCACTTGGCGTTTGCGTTACTGACTCATCTCATTCACTAAAACTCCTATGCTCCATTCATTCATTTTTCTTCCCGGAAACGCGTCCGCCGCCGGATAGAAACAACATCGACTATCATTTAGAAATCAACCTTTCGTAGTTGGGATTTCCAAAACTGACTCAATCATGGTTTCGAAGAACTACAACTCGGCGTTGGCCGACATCTGAACGGCGGTGACTCATCCATTGAAAACTAAAAACGAAATATAAATAAAAGTGGTTTAGAGATGTCCAGAAGGTATTCTGATCCGGAGAAGTTCAGTTCCTCGGTTATTACAAACGGCGCATTTAAACAGTTAAAATCGGATGAGTTGTTACGAAGACTTTTGTATCGAACTCCGTCGGAAGAAGTTAACGCGAGTGATTCATCCGGGTCGAAAGAATTCTTTAGCGCGGAGAATTGTGGAGAAGGAGACGATACAAAAAGCCCTTCGAATCTTAATACTCAACCAGTTGGTTTGGTTGAGTTACTTTTAAAAGGGACAGAACGTAATAAAGATGATATTAATATGGACTACAATGAACAATCTACAAATGTTAACTGTGAATACAAAGACGGTGCGGTTGTGGAAAATGAACTCAGTGACTTATTTAAAAGTGATTTTGAAAGTGGTTTTGAAAAAGATTGGGAATTTATTTTGTCAAAAGCTGAAAATTTTAACATTCAATCATCACCTTCAAATGATAGTTGTGATTTCTTGGAATTACTATCCATTCCTGTTAGTGAAATTCTTAAATCATCGGATGATTGTGAACAAATAGAGGAAGAAAATGTAAAAAGTTTTGAAGAAATAAATGGATCTAAAGAAAATGATGGAAAAGAAAAAACTATTTCTAATGAAAGTGATAATAATCCTATGGTTTTTGTTCCTTCTGGTAAATTATTTTCTTTTTAAACATTAATTTGGTGCAATTTGTTTTTAATATTCATAAATAAGCTATGCATGAAATGTTTTTAATTAATATTCAATTGATGTTACGAGAATTTCCTTAGAAAATTTTTAAAGTGTAAGTTCATTTGGATGATTATTAAAATTACTTTCACGTTCTTAATTAATAGTTCTTATGATTCTATGGCAATTGAACGATTAGTTATTCATCATATTTTTCTTTATTTTCAAAAGAATGTTAAATGCGTTCGATTTTGAATGATTTTCCAACAATTCTAAAAGTCTAAAACGTTATTTATGGAATCGTAAAAGCCTAGTTTTATCAATCGTTAATCACATAATGATTATAATTTCAGCGTTTGCATCGTATGGGGTGAATATGAGTTTTATAAAATCTAAACCGAATGTTAACGCCGAAATAAGCCAACAGTGGGTTTTATAAAACTTTAATTGAATGTTTATCTACAGATAATATCATGTTAACTGATTGTGAGGTACAGTTTTTATCAAGCTCTGCTAGCATCACATTAACTTCAAGCACTAATCAATTGCATCAACAAATTAAAAAATCATTGTTATATACCAATCGATCTTAATATCATTAATATGTTTTAATTATTCTAACTTTAACAGTATATCAACCCATCGAAGTTAACATAAATAATTTTTTGTACATAAGTTACCCCAACATTTTTGTTGTATTCAGTTCAAAATGGTTTCCATGATGTTAATCGAACATTAATCGACAGGTTGCGTCAGGTAACTTACACCCGGTTTTATAAAACATTTTGGCACATTTTGAGTTGTTTTTGTATGCCATGCAAGAGAACCACAAGGTTCGGCACCTCTTCGGTGCAAAGCTCAATCAATTTTAAAAAACTTAGTGTGCAATCATAGATACAATCTAGACAATTTCAAGAAAAATTCAGGACAAACGGTAATTAGGAAAGGTGTAATATCCAGAACATCTTGAAACCCAAACCAATTTGAAAGGCGGAATTGACGTCTTGATATATCGATATATTAGTCATTATAATATTTCTGCCAAACATGCAATGGGAATATATGGTGCGTATATACCTGTAAGTCATTATCGTACTTAATTCTTAATCGGAATATTAATCGGAACAGGAAAAGAAACTATATTAAAGGAAATATGGAAAATATACAGAGGAACTTCACAGAGAGGAAAGTGAGGGATTTTAAGTACAGGACAATTAAGATGGAAACAACAGGCTATCAACCCAATAGCAGCGTGTGAAGAAGATAGATAGAAGCAACAGTTTGGTGAATTACTGAACATTGTACTCCACTGAGACGAGTAGAAGTGCAGCAAGCTATATCAAAGACAGTCATATAGAATGGGATGCCTGGTGCTCACATTGCTGAGTCCGCAAATAGCGATGTAATTTGTTTTTAAATTTTTTGGTACTTAATTGACGGAATTCTGTTGGAAATTTATTCCAAATTAATGACACATTGTACGTGAAAGAGTGTCTGAAAGATTCTGTTCTAAGTTTTGGTACATCTAGTGGTCCCCGATATCTGACATTGATGCAGTGAATATCTGATCTAAATCGAATCTTACGGCAAAGGTAAGGGCGGAGTTTTTTGCACGAGGATTTTGTTGTACAACATAGCAGCATGTAACTGACGNAAAGATTCTGTTCTAAGTTTTGGTACATCTAGTGGTCCCCGATATCTGACATTGATGCAGTGAATATCTGATCTAAATCGAATCTTACGGCAAAGGTAGGGCGGAGTTTTTTGCACGAGGATTTTGTTGTACAACATAGCAGCATGTAACTGACGTCCATTTGCCATATTGAGCCGTCCAACTATTTTAAGTTTGGGAGAAATACTGTGTACCGTGCGCGGAACACCGAAAATCAACCTTAAACATGCATTTTGTACCCGTTGGACTCACTGCATATCTCGAGCTCTAAGGTGTGGCCCATAAGGGACGTCACAGTAGTTTAAATGGGAAAGGACCATGCTTTGATAGAGTTGCGTTTTTAGGTGACAATTCAATAGATCACGATTTTGAAAAGTTAACCTTAAATTGTAGAAACATGATCTTAAACATTTGTTGATATGAGATGTAAAATTTAATTTTCTATCAATAATCACCCCTTCCATTAATTTCAATGTTATTTGATATTGAGAACCGGAGATGAAAAGGCATTGAGGGTGTTCGAGAGGAGGTTGCAAATATAGTTGGAATTGTGAAAGGGCGATGGATAGAATGGCTGGAAGAATGGTGATGAGAAAGGATGCAAGAAGACCACAGAAAAGGATTTTTGGCGCAGTAATTGGAATAGCAAGAGCGAAAGGAGGACCTAGAAGGCACTGGAAAGATGATGTGTGGCATAACCTGAAGAAGCTGAAAGAAGGCAAAGGCAGATGGAAGAGGCTAACTTCAAAGGTCAAACCCAACCCCGAGTTGTATTACCTAAGGACAAGGACAAGCTTTGATTAGCAGCATGTTAGAAAAACTATAGGCTCGTGAAATCGTCAGCTTATAGTTTAGTATATAAAGTACATCAAACAGTGAGTTTTTGTGGTTGTAACAACGTGTCAATGACTTGACACGTTGATTGATTGTTCTTCACTTTAAAGACGGTATTTTCTTTGTTGACGTAATCGTTCAACCAAAAATGATCCTTATCACTGAATAAGATGTTGCTGTGAAAATGAGGATTAAGAGCATTCTTATTATTAGCCTATCTAAAACTTCCATAAAGTGAATGGACAATACTGCAATTGTCAATCCTTACAGTACCAATAACTGTTTCAGTGCATAGTGGAACGACTTAGGCGTAGAGAACACATCAAGCAATTAAGAAATTCGTTAGAATCTTCCATATAGGACATCTGTATTTATAGGACGATAATCGGTCAGTAAGATGGTTAAAGGACACCTGATTACATTAAGCTGCAACTTATGCATGCACTAACTCAATATCTCCTATGCAAAAGTTTTCTTTTTGCTATATTTAGGTAAATTACCACATTCGGATATAATCACTACAAATCAAGTTTCATCAATTTAGCTAATTCTGTTTGACACACTTCAATGTTGACACCTTTTTAGGATGCATTTTTAGTCGAAGAAAAAAAATGTGAAAATTTTTTCTATTTAAAATCGTGTTCAACGACAGAATCACATGATAGGTACTATTCTTCATTTCTGGTTTGTTACATTTCAGCTAATCTAATAGAGTTTTTGAAATCAACCTCAAACGCAAATCGGTTTGAAATTTGGAACGTCTGCTTGTACAAGTAGCGCCACTATTTTACATTACACATATTATTTTGGAAGAAATATTAATCCATATTACAAAATTGCATCCGGTTAATTTCTGTTAGTTAAGAAACGCATTGAATCTTAAATGAAACTCTAAAATATCTTCTTTAATGATGTAATTTCAGAGGCACACGTTTTAAAATGGTAATAAATTAAGTTGATGCAAATTTATCTGACTTTTAAAAAATATTTGTAGCTTATTGTTATATCTATTATTTATATCTTGACGGCTTAAAATATCGTCTTTGCGATTGTGTAACATATCGTATATGTTAATGATATAATTTTGCGAATTGAACTGCTGTCTTTTTTGATGTCCACATTTAAAAAGTCTTTCACGATTTTGTGTAATAATTAAGATTTTTTTATATCTTAAATGAGAACTTAAAATGAAACTGTTAAGATTACATATTAAAACTTATTAGTATTACTTATTAAAAATTTAAATGTTATAATTTATGTTCGCATAAATATAATTTTAATTATATTGTTGCAAATTATGTCGATGCGGCGTTCTACAGGGTGATTTATTAGCTCACCATCAAACTTTGACATATGATAGCTAATCTAATTACAAAAAAAAAAAGTTAATGAACATATGTCCTATTTCAATTATTTACGAAATTATAACACTTTAAAGTTTTAATTTTTATATCATAATTAACTGCTATATTTTTTTAAAACACATAAATGCTACAAATCTTGTTCAAAATAGTCTCCTTCTGCTAGAATACGTGCTTCACAACGACGAATTAAAGAGTTCTTCAGCCGCATTAAAATGTCTGGTTGATTTCTTATTTCAGTTCTCGTGTGTTAATTTCCACTTGATAAACAATTTGTTTCATTTGACTCCATAAGTAGAAATCCAATGGATTAAGGTCGGGGATCTAGGTGGCCAAGCAAATGGACCATTATTACCAATCCACTTGTTTGGAAAATATTGGTTTAACCACTCGACAACTACTCTACTTCTTTACATGAGGTGGGGCACCATCATGCTGGTACCACATATTTTGAATTACATTAAGAGGTATATCTTCAAGTAAATCAAAAAGTGTATTGTTCAAAAAAATCTGTAATTTATAGCGTTCAAACGTCCATCAAGTACATGCAAACCTAGTAAATTGGTGTTAAATATTCCACCCCAAACGTTGATGCAGAAACGTTGTTAAAATTTCTTTGGTCTAATGGCATGCGGATTTTGTAATGCCCAAATATGTTCATTATGGTAATTATTTATACCATTTCGTGTAAAACATGATTCATCTGTCCAGAGAACATTTGAAATAATAATAATAATAAGTTTATTGCTCACTCAAAGTACAAAAACTATAACAAAAAAAACTACAATATCGAATTGCTAATAGCAAATACAGCTGTAACAATATAAATTTGAGGGAAGCAAAATGAGCTATTACACAGAATTCGTCGAAGACGATCCGTGATCTTCCAATAGTCATCACAAACACATCTAAAGTTAGCTAACTAACTAATGATACTTAAACTTAAAAAAAAGATAATAAAAAAGAAAAAGAGAAAAAAAAAACAGACAAAACTAAAATTAAATTAATCATCTGTCTGATATAACACAATTTTGTAGCGACTCACAAGCAATCTCAGCGAGAGGTACGATCCAAATCGCGTAATAGGTAACTAGATGTACGTTTGAACAGTTCCGT